CACACACACACACACACACACACACACACACACACACACACACACACACACACACACACACGCGGTGACACACGACGCCCACACACACACGCTCCTCAGGTACAGACACGCGCACGATCCTGCCTCGCGCGTGTGGCACACACTTCAATACAAACACAGACACAAAGGAACACGCACTCGAACACACACACACACAATGAAACATGCACAAACACACAATCACACACAAACACACACACACACACACGCCCACCTGCACACATGCACCCAAGAAATCTTTCATTCTGCGCGAGCATATCGTCACAAAAAACCTTCCTCGCACGCGCGCACATGCACACATATATCCCGACTGCGTACGCACTTACCGTGTGGAACTGCCGAGTGAAGATGAGTGCGAACCCTGACGTTTATCGTGACGACACTCTGTCCAGCTTTGGGCGTGCGCTTCGCGTTTGCTAGGGTGCTGCGTGGGGTGGCGGGCGCGCCTTTCGAGAAAGGAAATCGGAAGTAATGTCGAATATGACGTGGACAACGACTTGGTGGGCGAAGGGACATGCGAGGGCATGTGGGGTGCATTGGTGCCACGGAACGTGCGCGGTGAAGAATGGTTGTGCCAGCTATGGCGCGCCAGCTGTTGACGACAGCGGCGGTGCGTGGCTTCCGTCGGGCAGCATCTCCCCAGCAAAAACACCGAATGCATCGTCAATGCCCAGGGCGCCGCTCGTATTTGTAGGCGCGCAGAAGACGAGGCCCCCTCGAGCCTTCCGTTTCAGATTTTCGTGCAGGATCCGCGCGCCGACGCGCGACTGTTCGATCCATGCATCAAACGGTGGCTGCACGTCGAAATTGTCGCGAGGGGGGCCTGGTGCGTCGAAATGTGATAAAAAACGTCCCTACGGGCTAGCCCTTCCCGAACGTCATTGGAAAACGGGCCCTTGTTCCGGGCCCCTTGCGTTCGTGTCTTCGGGTTCGCGGGCCCTAGTCGAGGGGGCCTCAGGTGTCGTGGGGGGGCAGTTTGTACTTTCCAGGGTTGAGGGGGGAGAACCGCGGGAGGGGGGAGGGGGGAGGGGGGCGGGGAGAAAGGGGAAGTTTGAGGGGTTCGCGGCCATTCGCGTCTCCTGGCTGGCGATCGGGGTCTGTGGCCGTGCGGGGGGACACAGGCGGGTCTTTCCATGGGGTGCGACGATGGTCTGAGGCTCAACTGCCTTGGGTCTGGTGCAGCCCTTTCGCATCTCGAGCCTCACGAGCGCATTCGCGCGCGACGTCCCGTCAGCGACATCCTCCATCGCCTTTTCTGCTCCGCTGTTGCGCCAGGCGGCGGCGGGCGTGGGTGCAGGGGTTTCCTCTCGTCGACAACTGTTGTCTGTGCTTCAGTTGTCTGCGCTTCGACATCTCGTCTCTGCGTCCTGCGTCAGCAAGTGGCCACCGCCGTCTGCGCTGAGCCCTTGTCGAACAGTTGCGCCATCGTGTGCGCTCCGCCGCCGTCGAAGAACTGCGCCACGTCGAAGAACTGCGACCCGTCAAAGGGTTGCGCCATCGTGTGCGTTGTGCCCTCTTCAAGGTAGAGTGTTGTTCTGCCTGCCCACGTGTCGGGCGTCATGCATGTTTGCCGGCCCATGGGAGCGGCCGCGTCGCGCCACCTGTTTCAAGTTGCGGGGACGGAGGGAAAGGATGTCAGTGATATTGGGCCACATGGTTTCTGTGTCCCCTTCTGATTCCCACTCGTTCTTTCCTCGCGAGCGGCCCCATGATTCTTGCCTGCCATCATCATCATCATCATCACCTCCATCATCACCATCATCGTCGCCACCATCATCATCGTCATCATCATCATCATCATCATCATCATCATCATCATCATCATCACCATCATTGTCATCGTGATCATCATCGTCTTCATCAACATCATCATCGTCATCAACAACATCATCATCAACATCGTCAACGTCATCAACATCGTCATCATCATCGACATCATCATCAACATCATCAATGTCATCAACAACATCATCATCATCAGCGACATCGTCACCGTCATCAAAATCACCACCATCGTCATCTTCGTTGTCATCGTCATCATCAACATCATCATCATCGTCGTCATCATCGTCATCATCATCATCGTCATCATCACCATCGTCATCATCACCATCATCATCATCACCAACACCATCATCAACATCATCATCGTCATCAACATCGTCATCATCATCAGCGACATCATCGTCCAGATCAACATCACCACCGTGATCGTCACCATCACCGGGATCATCACCATCGTCATCATTATCATCATGTCGTGCCACGTGTCGCAAGTGGCTGGGACGGCGGGAACGGATGACGTAGACATCGGGGCACACAGTTCCCGTGTCCTGTTCCGCTTCTCTCTCATTCGTTCCACGCGACCGCCCCCACGATTCTTGTTTGGCTTGGCATTGAAGAAAAAGGGTCGTTGATCACAAGCTCAACATTGCAAACCACTCCCACGCGGTCGAGGCAAACACGAAATCGCCTATTCCCAGCAGAACACGAAACCCCTTCGAATCACTTCCCTCGCACGTTTGCAGTTCTCATCAAAGAGATTAGAGGTTGGTTATCACAAAGGAGACCACGACTGATGGTTCGAATCCATCGTGGGGCCAACTGCGCCAGCATGGACGAACAGTTGTCGCGGCGGTGGTGGTGAGCGCCAAGCGGGTGCCGCATGGGCTGCGCGCGACCACTGTTGGTATTAAGCGTCACGCGGTGGCCACGGTGGGAAGGATGTCCGCCGTCCACGTGGCGTCAATCCTGGGAGAGTTCCTGTCGTCTACATCCCGCGCACACAACGTGCACATGATCCACCATAAAGGCCATGGATGTTGAGCGCGCGCTCCTGGCGCTGGTCGTGAGGGATGCGATATCGCATTCCGTGCGACAAATGCCAGGACTGTGCGCGTAACATCCGCGGGCTTCAGACCGAAGAATGCACACATTGCGCCCGCGCGATGGAGAACGCCTGCACCACTCGCTGCAATGACGATGACGTTTCTTCGGCGTGAGCGCCGCATGTTTCGTGACGGCAACCTCGACACGAAAACATGGCCTCGTTCAATATCGAACAACCCGACCGCCTCCGTGAAACGTCTCAGTCATCGGGGCAAGGGGGGTTGCCATTGTCACTGCAAGTGCGAAACTAACAACAGCCAAACAAAGAATGGCGCGTGGCGTGTGGTTGCCTGGCGAGATGGGAAGTTCGGATCCCGGCGAACTACAGCAATCATGCGCAGTGTTCTCGCGGAAGCGGCAATCTGTTGTCGTCGCGCGGCCGCAGGGAGAGCACATGCAGGTACGAAAATAGTGCATGATTGTTGTAGTTCGCCGGGATCCGAAGTTCCCATTTCGGCAGGCTTTTACACGCGACTCCATGTTTTTTGTTTGGCGGTCGTTGGTTTCGCGTTCGCAGTCACAATGCCATCCCGGGTTGCCCTGATGACTATGTTTTGCGGGACACAGTTTCCAGCTTTCGGGCGTGGGGTCGATAGTTCATAACGCCATGCCTGTTGTCAGCGTGCGACGAAGTTCAGATCCCGGCGGACTTGCAATCTGAAGCATGCGAAGTCGCGAGCTGCTCAGATGATTATTGTTGTTTCGTCCGCGTTATTCAAATAAGACGCTTACGGTTTGCATGAATCTTTTCAGAGTCTTGGTTGCATCACTGTTCTTTCGGTGGTGTTGCCGCAAAAAAACAGTTCTATCAATGGGACCCCTGCAAAAACAAAGTGTTTAATGCTCCCGGTCCAACGCGGCAACCAATCTGAAGTTCGGAACCGGGCGGACTTCTTGGTTGGCACCCGTTCGTGGTCCCATGATCCTGGCCGTGGAACCTGCCATTGCCCGAGCGCGAGCTCGCCTTGTCTGCGGTACTAATTGGCGGTCCACCAGCCGTGGTCATTTTTTTTTTGTGCTTGCAGTCATTGTCATCAAAGATGACAACATTTACGACTGGATCGCTGCAAGTGCTCGCTTTGTCGATGAGGAGAGTCGGGGTCCATGGGGGTCTATTGGGGGCCGCGCTGCGCCGATTTCCGACGTGGTGCACCTGCGACGACCATTTCTGTTGTGCGTGCTCTGTTGGAACAAACACTTGTGAGCAGCAGCAGGGCCTCCCTGGCCATGCAGCCAAGTCTAGCGTTCCTTCTGTGCAATTCCAAACCGGTCATCCAAATATCCGTCGTCCCCTGCGCAAACCGGTTCCTAGCCAGTCCAGCAAACGCCAAGTTCGGATCCCAACGGACTTTGAGGTCCCGCGTAAATTTAACGGGCCTTTTCGATGGCAACGACTGTCGAGTGTGTTCTGATTATCAGAGGCCTCCGGGAACACAAAAGTGCTCGCATGAGGCCTGGAGCTTCAAGTATGAGTTGATTGCGCGAGGACTGTGGGTGCGAAAAATTGCTCACCTTCTGAGATGCCCTTCGAGGGGTTTGTGGGGGTTGCTGACGGTGATAGCGGTCGTGTCCCTTGTCGGTGTGTCGTCGATCTTTGTTGCCCCCAGAGGGTTTTGACCGTCCCGGTGCGCGGATTCTTGTCGCAGACATGCTCGTGTTTCTGCGTGGTTTCCGGTTCGCGCTTTCGCACGTCGACGTTACCGGCACGCGAATCAGGGGTCGCCTTGTCGACTGGCCGAATCGGGGTTTGGAAGGGTTGCAGGGGGGGCCTTTCATCAATTTCTACATTTTTCTTGTCTCCGTGGTAGAGATGTCTGAGCTCGATGAACTCTTGCACTAGGGGTTAGTTTGGGGTCGCTCTGCGCCCAATTTTGTGGTGGTGCATCCACCGCTGCCCTTTGCTCTGCACGTGCTATCATACAACGACAACTTGAGAGCGGCAGAGCCTTCCTTCTGTACGGCCAAGCATAGCGTTCCTTGTGTGCACCCGCTGGCGCTCCGTTCCCACAGTCCTCGCGCAATCAACTCACACTTGAAGCTCCAGCCAAATTCGGATCCCGGCGGACTTGGAGGCTCCGCGTGAATCTGCCCGTTGCTTTCAACGGCTTGTACTTCTCCATCCGTCTTCAATGCCGACAGCCTGGTAGTGCGCAAAATTGCTCGCCTTGTGAGTTGCCCTGAAAGGGGTTTATTGGGGTTGACGACGGTGTCGCTGGCCGGGTCCATTTCCGGTGTGCCGTGGATCTTCGTTCGTCGGCGCCCCAAAATGCGGTGCGCCAAAGCATCTCCTGCTTCTGTGCTAACGCCATCCACCCGTTCCAAATGCAGGCAAATCCAGCAAGTTCGGATCCTGGCGGACTTTGGGGATCGACGCGAATCTATCCTCTGAAATGCCCTTCAAGGGGTTCATGGGGGTTGCCAAAAATAAGGGACACGGCCGTTGTCACCGTCGGCAACCCCCATTAACCCCTTCGAGGGCATTTATGAAGGCGAGCAATTTTTCGCGCCCACGATCTTTGTTGCCCCCCCTAGGTTTTTGACCGTCGCGCTGTGCGGAGTCTTGTCGCGGATCTTTGTTGCCCCCCAAGGTTATTAACCGTCGCGGTGCGCGTTGTCTTGTCGCAGACACACTTCTGTTCCTGCGTGCTGTCCGGTTCACGTTGTCGCACGTCTGAATCATGAGTAGTACGTCTTAATCAATGCTCAGTGATAGTTCATCTGTTGTTGAGTGAGGTCATTCACAACCCTGTCCATTGTCTCATTACGTCTGTTGTTCAAGTGCATTTCAATGTATGACAATGCCATGTCAGTTTCGTCTTTAAAGTCACATAAATCGTCGAAGTGTGATAGAGTCCAAAATTATCGAAGTGTCACAGTGTTGGAATCCATCCTTAAATCACACCGAACAGATTGAGTGTCACGTCTTTTAATAAGTAATATTATGTACTAGTACATAAATTATGGAAGTGCGATGAAACCCATAGTCACTGTACTTAAACCGTAATCTCGTTTGTTGTGTGATTCGTTTGTCGTGTGATTGCCTAACGTTTAAAGTTTACTCTTCGATCGATTTAATAACTTATAAATTACTAAGTGCGACGGAATCCATACATAGTCTAGACTATTAGTACTTAAACCATCCGTATGCTTGGCAATGCCTTAAATGTCCCACTTCCATTGAGTTTCAACGATCGATTTAATAAGTTAAGTTAGTATATATTTAATAGAGTTAAAGCATAAATTATCGAAGTGCGACGAAATCCATACTAGACTATTAGTACTAAAACCATCTGTATGCTTGCCTTAAATGTCCCACTTCAAGTTTCAATAAATTTAGGGAAGTCACAATGTCATCTAAAAGAGGTCCGACTCAATGCTGACACAAAATTGAGCAAGGTAAGAAGAAATCGAGAGTTCAAGAATTCATGTTCTAGCCGTAACGACTTTTAAGTTACAAAATTGATGGAAGTGCAATGGAATCCACACTTAATCCATCATGATCAATAAGTGATTGCCTTGAATCTCTTGTTTAGATTTAATTTATGGCCTCTCAATTGCATTCTTCGGATTCCTGAGTTCCATTCAGGTCCAAATTATGGCGATTTTAACATGCAAGAGTACCAATTTAAAATATAATGTCCTGTTTTAACGGATAACATGTTAACTTTGCTTTGTATGTTTTTTTTCTTTTCTTAAACTCTGGGTGTCACTGTGTCAATAATAACGAATTTCACAACTTGGATGTATCTTTCTTTTTCTTGCTGCTTGCCTTTAGGTCCAAATGATGAACTGGTTAGAACAACGTTACAGATCAAAGGTCCGCTTGCTTTCTTCCGCGGTTCACTGGCTGGTTGAAACTTTTTCACTTCTTTATATGTATTGCTTTTTTTTCTTCTTTCTTTTACCTCTTTATGATAACCCTGTCTGTTGTCCTCTTGCGCAGGTAGGCACTGGAGTAATCACTTAACCAGATATCTGGGTCTCACTTCAATCACACTTATCCTTACCCAGTTTTAGATTCGGTACCTTACTTGTATCTGATGTGCCAACTGCCGTACTCCTATCTTGACTATGGCACAGACTCCAGACTAGAGGGTTGGAGAAGAGAAGGACTCTGATCCTTTAATCACTCTAAACTCCAACATGGCAAGTTCCTTTGACTTCAACCATCCAGACTCTAGACCCTGTGACCCGACTTGACAGCAACAGCAGCGACCCAGAGAGGATAATGAGAAGAAGCACACACACACACAGGCAACCAGGTAAGGGGTAAAGGGAGCTTCTCTCTTTGACAGCGATCGTTGATGAAGACTTCTTTTCGCTCTGCACTCCAAGCTTCAGGTAAGTAACCTTCTGCCCCTTCCTCTTCGGCCTACTCTTCTCCGTTATCCCTGTCCCCCACTTCCTCCACTATCGCCAGTGCCATTAACCAGTCGGCGGTCTCTCCTGCTTCTCGCCGACCTTGCTCATGCCAGCGCAGTGAGTACAACAAGTATCTGCTCCGATACCAGAATTGCAAGGAACCGAATTGTTCACAGCTTGCTTGAGAGCATCACACCATATGCATACATGTCATCACACATATAAAATGGCCTCACTCAAAACCAGAATGAGATGAGATAAGAACCGAGAACGCAACTTATATTCATAATGTCACTTAATACAAAGAGTATCATGAGTTCCAATGTTCAGCGCCAACAACAGACAGTCTCCCTCATCATACAACAACATGGGATCTGGCTCAGCTAGTATCCTTCTTCGGATTACAGGTATGGCGCCAACAGGTAAGTGTTCAACATATCCAGGTTCACTTCCTGTCTTCTCTCTCTCTGACCTCTTATCTCTCCCTCTAGAACTATGTTTTGGTTCTCTCTCTTCTCTCAGCATGCACACTCTCACCTACGAAGATCTACTTTGAATGTCACTCACTGATATCCTATTGTCTAACTTCCTACTACTAATATGGGCTGGCGCAGCTATGGCTTCCCTGCAGCCAGCGCCCAGTCTCCCTTCTTTCTGGCGCAACTCTACTTTAGCCAGCACCGGTCCAGCCCGCTAGCGCACAAGTGTCGCAGCACTTCCACGTATCAATGCTAGTGGAAAATTTGTCGTAAGAGGACGCAGCTTCGTTTCTTATAGTGTTGGCCTCCTCAAACGAGGGCTGAATCCTGTCTGTCTTCGGTCCTTTCCCAGTCCCAGCCTCTGTGTATGTGTCCCAGACCTTTTTCCTTCAAGGATCACTGCTGCTGCGGCCGCCAGGCCTTGATTTCGGACTTCTAGTCTGCACCTAAACTTCCCTTTCGACTTGAATCCGAACTGGGACTGAACTCTTTCACTTTTCTTTTAGACAGACACATCCTTTGCACGAACAGACACCTTTACTGCACGAACAGACACATTTGACTGCACGTACAGACACATCTCTGCATTAACAGACATGAGTTGCACATCCCCTGGATGAACAGACGTAACCCAAATACTTAGATATCGCAACTGTTCGTCCAAGGCACAATCGTGACCTTTGACAATGCCCTTTGCTTTAGTTTGGAGTGTGACTTTTGGCCTAGAGAACATGTCCTTTGATCTGCTTTCATGAATTGGGCTTTGGGCGAGGTACCCCAATATGTTGTTCCCGTCAGTCAGGGGCTGCATCGGGTAAAGGCCCTTTTAGTAGTGAAAAAAAAAAAAAAAAAAAAAAAAAGTGGAACAGTCAGAGGTGGCAGCATCTTCAATAGAGATCGTCCATCCTCCAGTGGCTAGATAGTCTTCGAAGTTGAACGTAATTGAAAACTTTTTTTTTTTTTTTTTTTTTTTTTTTGGAAAAGGCAACCGCTATCTCAGGGATCTCCATTTAAGGTCGGGCCCTCATCTTGAATACGAGTGTTTTCTCAAACTGCTGGTACCCGAGAGCAGTGAGGCCACTGGTGAAGGAGGCATATACAAGAATCAATAGGGCAGCCCGGAGATACCTGTGGAAGGGTGCCTTTGAGGACAACCTGGGTTACATTGCTTAGGTCTGATGGGACAAAGTGATAGGTGACAAATGCAATGGTGGGCTGGGAATACTGAACCCCGAGTATCAAATTGTTGCCATGCTAGCAAAATGGCCTATTAAAATGTTGGTGGATAACTCAAGTCACCCCTGGCTGGATCTAGCGTTGCTAATCCTATCCAGGGAATGGAGGTTATCTAGGGTAGAGGATGTTCGGGTGGCCCTTCTCACCAAGGCATTTGTCAAAAAGAAGATTAATTCTAGAATCTGGTCAGATATTTTGGAGGCCTGGTTAAAGGTGATGCCTTTCCAACAGGAAGACCCGACCTTTATGGAGGAGGTCTTACAGCAGCACATCTTTGAGAATCCACGGATTCGAGACCCGGATGGCGTCCCATGATCAGCGTCATATGAACAAGGCTCATTTGGATTCATTTGGATTCAGAAGGGAGTGTCACACCTGAAAGATATTTGGAACAGGGATATTAGTGACTGGTCGTCCCCGACTGAACTTAGATCCAAGCTAAAGCATTTGAGGCAGGTTCCGGATAAGTTAAAAGCAATTATAGAAAGTATTCCAAACGTGTGGAAGGACATCCTAGACAACCAATGGGCTTCCTATGAGGCGCATTGGATGGAGGGAGGCAAGGAAGACCCGCCTGGTACAGTATGGAGCATTAAGACGGTTAAGCAGGACAAGTCTGCCTTAGCTCTTAGAGGACAGGTAACGAATCTTCACGATAGTCGTCTGTTAATCTCAGTTCTTACGTCCGAAAATGCCCCTGATCTCATTCAGTTGGGGAGTTGCATACCGAAATTGTGCAAACCAGAGCAAGGACCGAGCTCTCTCATATAACACAAGATAACGCAAGAAATGCTAGAATACCAACGAATCAATGATCAGCCCAATCAATATTGCAATGCAGACCATAAATACCTCATCATCATCATCATCATCACACGGTGTGAAGGGCTTGGCGCTCACACAGGAAGAATGCGCCAGTCCCAAGCATCCACATACGAAGACAAGGGGGATTAGACGAGATAAGGGAGAAGATGGGAAGTGTCACTGGTATCGACCCCAAATAGTCCCTTGTCAATGTCTCGATCCCAAAGTTGAGTCTGTATCCCATTGTTGTCAACATCTCAAGGTCACAACTCTCTCTCTCTCTCTCTCTCTCTCTCTCTCTCTCTCTCTCTCTCTCTCTCTCTCTCTC